TCGATACTAGAGATAAAATTCTGACAATGCAGCCATCAGCTACAGTATTGCATTTGATAGTCCACTATAGATCCCCTGAGGAACAATTCCATTCATTTTCTGGTATAGGAGAGGAAGAATTGTATAAACTTGTCAAATCATGAAAACCTACAACATGCATGTTAGACCCTATTCCATCTAAGCTACTGAAATAAGTGTTTCCAGAAGTCATGTAAATCATCAATGTCATTAGGATATTTCCCCAAAACTTTCAAACTGGCTGTTATTAAGCCTCTCATTAAAAAAACACAACTTGATCCTAGAAAATTAGTTAATTACAGACCGATCTCAAATCTCTCTTTTCTGTCAAAAATACTAGAAAAGGCAATATCCTCTCAGCTATGTTCCTTCTTAGAGAGAAATGGTATCTGTGAGGAAATCACGTCAGGATTCACAAATGAGTTACAAATGACCTGCTCTTATCATCCGATCATGGTTGCCTTTCTCTATTAGTGCCACTGGATCTTAGCGCTGTGTTTAACACTATCGACCACAACATTCTTTTGAGTAGACTACAAAATTATGTTGGCATTATTGGAATTGCATTGGCATGGTTCAAATCTTACTTATCTGACTGTCATCAATTTGTAGCAGTGAATGAAGAGGAATCATATCAATCACAAGTACAGAATGGAGTACCACAAGGCTCAGTACTAGGACCACTGCTATTCATGCTTTACATGCTACCCTTGGGAGATAGCATCAGGAAAGATGGTGTTAGCTTTCACTGTTATGCTGATGATACTCAGCTCTATATTTCATTGTGTCCTGACAAAACATATCAATTCGCAAAACTAACGGAATGCATAGTTGATATAAAAAGCTGGATGACTAGTAATTTCCTACTGCTACTGTAAATTCTGAAAAAAAATGAAGTTTTAATTATTGGACCAAAAACCTCTGCATGTAATAATCTTAAACACTGTCTAACACTTGATGGCTGCTCTGTCAATTCTTCATCATCAGTTAGGAAACTAGGTGTGCTAGTTGATAGCAATCTTTCCTTTGAAAACAATGTTTCTAGCTTTTGTTAAACCGCATTTTTCCATCTTAAAAATATATCTAAATGACTATCTAAGCTCTCAATGTCGAATGCAGAAATGTTAATTAATGCGTTCATGACCTCAAGTTTAGATTATTGTAATGCTTTATTGGGTGGTTGCTCTGTGTGCTTAATAAACACACTCCAGCTGTTCCAAAATGCAGCAGCTAGAGTTCTTACTAGAACCATATTAGCCCAGTTCTGTCAACTCTGCACTGGCTCCCTGTTGAACATTGTATACATTTTAAAATCTTGCTAATTACTTATAAAGCCCTGAATGATTTAGCTCTTCAAAACTTGAGCGAGCTCATATCGCATTACAGTCCTTCATGTCCGCTGCGATCTCAAAACTCTAATAATACCTAGAATATCAAAATCAACTGTGGGCGGCAGATCCTTTTCCTATTTAGTGCCCAAACTCTGGAACAATCTACTTAGTGTTGTTCGGGAGAGAGATACACTCTGTCAGTTTAAATCTAGGTCACCGTAGCCAAACGGATCCAGTCCTCATCCAGACCAGATGTTGGACCAGCACTTAGAGACAACCGCTACAGCCCTGAATGTCAGCGGAGACCATGTCAACTAGATGAGCCCTAGAGACAGATCCCCTGCGAAGGCAGCGTCAACTACACAGCCATCGGCACAAGACCACGGGAACCCGACAAGTCCTCGGCACAATCTGACCTGTGTTGCAGCCTGGAATTAAACCAAAATTTTACCGTTGAATTAAACTGTTGAAGACAGTTGTGCTGCTTAATATTTTTGTGGAAACTGTAATCCATTAATTTTTTTAGAACATTACAAGTAATACCTTCTATGAAGTCTTTAGGAATCATAAGACAGCTTTGTGTGAGGAGCAGACTGAATTTCAAGTTAAATTAGTTGGAATTATCATTCTATGTTTGTATGAAAATAAACAGAGCATTCTTCAACATGTCTCATTTTGTGTTCCACAGAATAATGTCATGATGTTTCGAAGCAACTTGAACCACAAAATGACAGCATTCATCTCTTTAAATGAATGAGAAAATGACTAAATATGATGAACAGTTTCACTTTCTCTTGATTTGAGTCCTACAATGTAAAAAAGCCAAATTAAATGTTAATATGCATTATTTTGGAGTACTACACTGGCTATCCCATAAACCCCCAGTGAAATGTTATGCTTCTCATATCAGCAGATCTCAGACTGATATGTTAAACACATCAATCTGGGTGACCACTCATAGTCTAAGCATGGAAAATCTAAACAGCAGAAGCCTGAGTACAGATCCAACCAGCTTAAGATAAACGTAGTTAAGATGAGGGGACGGTGTCTCCCTCCCTCTCTGCCCTCTTTTTTCCCATAACCTCTGTCTGGCTGAACCATGAGTAAGCAAGACCACCCAGCCATGAAATTTACTGACTGTGATACAGTTCTTTGTCCTGCTACACTTGCTTGTGATAAACTTTCAAAGAGTGCTAATAGTAGATTAAACAAAAGACTGAACCATTTTACCTGCAGATAAACAGAAAACCCCTTTAAGAAAACCGACTGCTGATAAACAAAACTCTCTTTTATCAGTCTATCTGCCAGACATAAAATGGACAACGAAAAAAGAGAATGTATTTGTTTTCCTTCCACATGCTTCTTTGAGGGCACATTTAGGTAGAAAACATTAGTATCAGATCGCAGGTGATTATAGTAGACTCTTGCGCTTTGATCTGTGCGGTTCTTCAAAGCACAATGGAAAGGTATAAAATGTTGTATTTATGTTACAGTATAACTTACATATAGTGTCATAATAAACATGTGGGTTTACTTCTGCCCTTTAGGACACTCTTCATTGCCAGCCAGATTTCTAAGTTTAAATACTAACATATGCTTAACATTTATTTAGAAAATGAAACATTAATTAGTAGAAGGAAAATGCACACTCATCATCTCTCCAGTTGGGAAATGTCATCTATCAGTTATTCATTAATTTTTCGAGAGCCATTTATCCAACATGTTATGAACTGTGCTTGGACTCTAAGTCTAGAAAACATTAACTCTTAAATGGTCCATTTAAAGTAACAATTTAAAGAAAAATACCTTTTAAAGAGCTCATTGGTGTAAACATTTACAATGTTTACAGTTGGGCAGAACTGAGAGACGGTTTGCTCCAAAAATATATTTCTTATATTTATTATCAACTTTCCCTCATTCACTGTAAACTAGAATAGCTACTAGAATAATGTCCAAGTTACTCTTTTTGCTATAAAAATGTAAATGGTTATATGGCTGTCATGCTTCAACAAAGAAGAAAATAATAAACAAGCAAAAAAACAATTGGACTAGTACTAAAGGAAAAAATATTGCATTTATAAGTCTATTGGTGGCCTAATACTTATAATAGAGCCTTTATTTCCAATTATATTTCAGCAACCAAATGTCATAAAAACAATTGTTTTATACATTTGTACATTTTATATTAGCATTGATATTACCTGTACAAGGTTTGGCCATAATCATCAAGATCTGTTTAACTCAGTGTTAGAAATGTTGCCTTGGCACCTAACTGAAATAACTGCATAACTGAAATAAAAGTTTAATTTGAAGTAGTAAAACTACAAAAACTGCTAAAACGGAAGCTGAAAAAAAAAAAAAAAAAAAAAGCTAAATAAAAATTACAAAAACTAAAATTAAAACTATAAATTAAATATAATACAAACTATAAATTAAACTAAAAATTTAAGCTAATTCATAATATTAACAAACACTATAATACTATATAAATAACTCTAAAATAACACTGGTTCAATTTTGAATGCAGCATTGTATTAATTGTATGAATCGTATGGAAAATGAACCCAAACAATATTTAACAATTTAAATGTCTACTCTTTTCACAAACTATGGATGGTTTTAGAAGACGCCTTCATAGAGCATTAATCATATGGACTATAGAGAAAATAGTGCATGAATCATATTTTTTGTCATTTTTGTAGCCTTTTGGAGAGCTGTATTCATCATCCATCTATCCATCCATCCATAAAAAAGAGCCATGTGACAAACTGTCTGGTCAAGTGTTAATGATTCACCTTGAAAATGTTTCAAACATATAATGCGCTTCTATGCTTTTACATCTATGGAGGAACAATTTTCATGGTAACATCTGGATCCTAGTCCCTTTTACTGCCATAGATGGAAAGAATGGAGGCAAACAGATGCACTACTCAAAAATGACAGAAACCAGGTTTTACTGAGGTTAATCATACATTACTGAACAAATGAATGACAAAAAAGAATGACGCACTAATTTCTGTGCGTGCATGTGTGTGCTTGTCAGAATGGATAACTAAAGGAGGAATGTTAACCTCAAGAACTTCCTGTCCTTAATATCATCACAGTCTAAATCCCCGCCTAGGGGTGTCCCGTTCCTGCAATTTCCCTGAGTGGACATGACATGTGTGTTAATCACTAAACATTGAGGGATGTGACTGACAGGCATCAGAAGGCCACTGAGGTGACAGGATTTGGGCTATAGCAGGTAGAAGGCTAATATCACAAAGAGGACAAACAATGTGTCACATGTAACGTGTCACACCTCTAGAAGGTCTAAAACTTTGAGTAGGGCAGAAAATAAAATTTCTTTGGCAATATGAATAAAGGAGAGCAAATAGAGAAGATTTTTGCTTCTGATTTTTTCCAAGATACAAAAGTCTGCAATCAAAAGCCTGAGATTTTAGTATGAACTTCACAGATCACAATTATATATATATATATAAGTTCTTTCAAGTTCTTTGATTATCTTCTGAGCCAAAGAAAGAGCAAGTTCTCAGCAATAAAATTTTCCACCTAGAATTAGAAAACAATGACCAAAAGTGTCCAGACATCAGTGGTCAAATATGAAAAGTGCAGTTTGATGGTATCCACTTTTGATTATCGATTACTTACTGGGATGTGTGACTGCTGCGGTCCCTTTAGGTGGACTGATTTTGCTCCTTGGCTGGCTCATCTCATCCTCTTCCTTTATATTAGTGTTTTGTGGGATCTGCGAATGTGTTGTTCCATTGATAGGAGGCCTCTGGCCAGGTATATTGCCCTCGCTTCCCGTCCGCATCACCTTCTCCCCCATGCTGTGCATTCTGGGTCGGCTGGCAGGTGTATCCCGACGAGGTGAGGGGAGTTTGGAGCCAGGACCCGCAGAGGATGGGCGAGCAAGTCGTGAAGGTTTAGACATAGTGTCGAAATGCTGGTTAAACTCGAGAGAATCCAATCTAGTCAGTTCATCAGTCACTCACTTGGTATTCCATTTCAGTTGTCCAATCAATTCACACTAGTATATCCAAAACTGTGTTCCACAGGTGTCCAAATACCGCCTGGATTTTCACCATACTCCACAGAGAACGATTTTCACCGTCTTGGTCTTACACTCCCTCCTTCTCTCTCATCTCTCTTCCTTCTTGTCCTTCTGTGTCTCTACTCAACGAACGAGTCCAGACGAGTGCAGGTAGAAGAACCAGACGGCAGGAGAGACAGAGGAGGAGGAACGAGGGGGAAGGGGTTAATCACCACCTTTTCAAACAGAGCCTCCAGCTTTCCGAAGTGTATGCGTGTGCGCCTCAGGATGACTGACAGGGGGACAAACGGAGATAAGCAGCCTGTTCCCATGTATCAACGCATTCTAGCACACAGTCTCAATCTCTCTTTCATTCTGCCCTCCTAAACTCCAATCGTCCTTCTCTCGCTCTCCCCACCTTCTTTTGCATCTCGTCTAGATGCTCTCAGCTTAGAAAGGCAGAAAAAGTCTCAATACTTGGGAATAAAAAAGGAAAAGAATGAAAAGGGAGGAGAAAAGGTCTTCTGTTGCTGTCACAGCTGTGTATACTGATCCACATGTGACTCTCTCTCTGTCCACTGCTCTTCCAGTCTCCAATTTACCAAGCTAGAATACCATCGCTGTGGTGCGTTGCTGTAGAAAATTACACACACACACACACACGCGCCTGGATATTTCTGGAGAATTACAAAGCGGCAGAAAGGAAAGCGGGATTACATTAGCATAGCTAGTACTTGAGCTCTGCAGTCTGTGTGTGTTTGTGTGTGTATCAAAGTAAGGAATGCTGGAAGCTTTACTTTGGATTGAAAAGAGTTGGAAATGGAGGAAAAAATCCTGTTTGCTGTCACCAAAACAAGCACAAACACACAAAGTTTGCAAAACTACATATAAAAAAGAGAGCGACAGATTAACTTGCACTTCATTAAAAAAACATTACAGTAAAATATATAATAAGAAATTTGGTTTTATTTGTTTTATTGCCCTTTTAGCATTATTACAGCATTTATTGCCATTTCAGCATTATTTGGCATTTTGAAGACAACTGAAAAGAAAAATGAAATTATTTTGCCGTTACATCAAAACATCGATATTAAACAGAAAAACAAATTAAAATATACACAAATACAAATATACAAATTACTAATATAATATCTCAAATTGCAAAACATAATTTAAAAATGCACAATAATTTATTTCACATAAAAATTAAATATTTTATATCATAATTTTGTTTGTTTATTAAATGAAATCCTAAAACTTTTTTATTTTTTTTATTGTTATTTTTATGTTTTACTTGAATTTGAAGTCCCAGATTTTCCATGTATTCTCTGACGTGTTTTTATTCTTATTATTCAGTCTCATCTAATCAAATCTCACTGCATATGCTGAGCTTGGGAAAAAAAGTCTTATCATCCATTTTCTTCACGGCTCCGATTTTTGGCATATAACACTGTCTTACAAAATAACTATCAGAGTAGTTTTTACCCAGGGTGCTCAGAGAACATGTAAATCTGATGCATCTCAGTTTATCATAAACAATAAATGTAACAATTTACTAGTAAAAAAAACACACTATATATCCTGATTATGAGTCAAAAAGAGATTTTGAACAGATAACCTACTAACCCAAAAGCCTGTGCCTCTCTCCGCTGCTCCTGTGATTCCATTTCACAGAGAAGCCCAGATCAAACCATCCAGCGGCGGTATATTTACCTTTGGATTTCATACCCAGGGAGTTTGGAGGAAAAAAAGTCCCAATGGAGCAGATTTGGCTGGCACAATACACACACATCTAGACAAGAGATTTAAATGTACAACATTTCACCACTGGATTAAACCCCCGCTGACATGGCTTCAAACCATTCGGCCACCTGGACAAACCATACATCAATCACTTTAACATGGGGAAGTGATCATATTGAAACATATCTATGTGGTGGGTGTATTAGTGGAGTGAGAACTGACCTATTTCAGAAGAGACAAACATATATGAAAAACCTTTTTTTCAGAATTCATCTAATTTCTCAAAAATGGACTTTCTTTGCAGTTTTCCCAAGTATACTAAAATATACTAGGGTATCATGGCTGACTTTTGACCTACATTTCTTCTCTACTAAAACCTAATGACCTTTGACCATGCTATACACAAAACAGATGTTGTGTATTGGCTTCTGTGTGCTCATACATATGTGTGGTTTGCATGTGATATGCACATGTGTGCCTCAGTAAGTGAGTGTGCATAAGTAATGCGTGTGTTTTGGGGTAATTTAAATGCCCTCTAATAATACGTTATATATTTGGCAGCCTCATGGCTCCACCCTGTAAGATCTCCATTCACTGATATAGCTCAATGTAAGCCATATTTAACCCTCTAAATAATATATGACCTATGAGACTGCTGTGAGATTTTCCATTCATCTTACCCTGGTACTTTATACCAAAATCATTTCTGCTAACAAGTCTTATTCATGAAACAAGCATATATAAAATAATGTATATAATTTATTATTATTTATCACATAATTTGTAATCACATTATATGCTTTATTTTTTATGTTAATTTATTTATTTTGCTTAATTTTGTTTATTTATTTAGATTTGTTTTCTAATTTTTATCAACAGTCACTGTTCTAAGTTAATTTAAATTAATTAATTTTGTGTAAATTATTCATTAAATAAATTTGAATCGAATGAAAGGTTTTGCATACAGTTAGGTAGTTTTGGTAGGTGGATCTAAGTACGTCTAAGGAATTTTCGATTCTTAGAGAGCGGTGAACCCCACCTGACTCATTCAATCCCCTTAGTTACTAAATAATCCAGAGCAAACAAAGAATGTGTATCAGGTAAAACATCTCAAGAGTTTCCCAGAAGCAAACAGATACATCATTATATCTTGAGCGTCTCATACCTGACTATCAGCAGAATGAATCATTACTGTCTCAACATGAAAAGGACTGGTGTGTGTGTGTGTATGTGTGTGTGTGTGTGTTTTCATGCCCCCAAGGGCCAGTTTCTTCAAACACATTGAGATTTTCATGAGCCAGAACTGATTTCTCCTGTTAGTCCTGTTGATGTAATCATAAACTGTCATGGGAGTCTCACTGTGTCTTTGAAAGGGGTCGTCTGGGTCAATAGTGCATATTATTGTAACAATAATATTTTTTCTCAAAAAAGTTTTATGCACATTTAAATATAATTACTGGTTTTCACTAAAACATCACTATTTCTATTGCTCATTAGTGTGTTACAAGTTGCATAACAACTACCAAGAATGCCCTAGAAATCACTTAGAGCACTTAGCAACAACCCAAAACATCCTAGCATTGTGGCAGCAACTTTTGCAAAGACAAACACTAATATTTTCTTCAGAAATGTAAAATTCTGGCTTGTACAGTAGTTTTTTGACATGAATGCAAATGAGGCTGTGAGGGATAGAAGTACAGTGTGTTCAATGGATTGTACTGTTGTTTAACATGTTGATAGTACAGCTGACGAAACATCTTTCGGTAGACTAAAAAAAAACAAAAAAAAATCCATAAAACAGTTTTGAAAGTTCTGAGTTGTGAAAATTGCATGATCCAGGACCTTTAATACAGTGTTTCTTTCACAGTCTCATTTTCATCTGCATTAAATTCAATATGGCGTCTAACCTGACTAAGGTCTATACTACTATAGTTGTTTTACTATTTAATAATTCCAGTCAACTTACATTTGCTTACATCATTTACAACTTGTGACCCTAAAATAGATCATTTAACCTTGTTACATTTCACACCTCCTCAACTCATCACCTCACCTCCTCAGAGACACATGCTACATTTCTCTTTCTCCAGATGTCTATAATGACTCTTCCTGACTCGCACCTCTTTCATTAACACCATCTCGGTTTTTGCGACAGGAGACAAGCTCACCTGAGGTAAGTAAAAACGACTTTATGAAGACTGAAGTGATTCTGGACTATTATTGTACATTTCCTTTGCCATCAGGAATAAAGCTCAGACATGTCTCACTCCTACGATCCCCATCACACAGTTCTGCTAACTAACTTGAGTGAATAAATGTCTGAGATCCCCTGCGGTAACTTTCAGGTAGTCGAAAGGCTCATAAAGAGTTTAACCAGCAGACACACAATTATACCTGACATTCCTCAGTAATGAGCCGGAGATCGCACATCAGACCACTATAAAGACATATAGGGACTGACATTCATGATAATATGGAGGAGGACAGAGAACAATTAACTGCCCAGAAGCCATATAAAAAAGTTGATAAAAGTGAACCCCTTTGCTAAAACATCTATGATCACTGTCCGTCAAAACTGAGTAATAAAGTTTAATAATAATTTAATCTGCCACTGCAAAAAAAAAAGGTGTATTAATTAATTAATTCAGTAGATAGACGGATGTAATATAAAAGGTTGAAAATACGGCCAACCCTTTGTGCTCTAAACCAGACAAAATATCTTAACTTTTTTAAATTGATAGATAGAAGGATAGAAAACTTTGTAAGTGTAATAAACTGATAATGACATACAATTAAAAGTAGTATCATATCTAAATTTTCAAAGGGCATTGCAAGATGGTATTGTAGTGTTAAAATAAAATAAAAATTAAATAAAATAAAAAAATAAAAAGAAAAGGAATATAAAATGAAATAAATATTTTGAAAAAGTTACAATTAAAATACTTACAGAAAAGAAAAACACAAAAGATCGTGAAAGTGAATGCCAGCAAAATGATTTGCTGAGTTTCCTGACCTCTGTGTCTCTGGGGCCCCCATGTGGTCTGACCATTAAACTCCATCTCCATCTGGTACACTGGAGTGAATAGTAGCTAAAGAATGTTTGCTATGGATTTGATCAGTTTGTGCATTTTGAGTCATTTTAGGGTGTTTAGAATTCTCTTGTCATTATCAGTAAGCATTTCTTCCCACAGGTATAGGTTAAAAACCTCCCTCGCCGTGTCACAAAAAAAGAAAGAAATGTCTAACTGTCTTGACTTCGTATGCTTCCTCTAGGATCTATTTTTAAAAAGTATGAGCTTTAAAGCCTATTTTAGATTGTCTGGACAAACTAAAACTTTGGCTTGCAAGTCATTTTCTAAGCCTTAATGAGGGTAAAACTGAATTTATTGTGTTTGGCTCAAATGAGTATTGTGTACATGAATTTGAATCTGAATTTCTGACACTACACAGTACTACACATGTCAGAAACTTAGGTGTTTGGTTTGATAATAATCTTAAATTTGATAAGCAGATAAGTACAGTGGTCAAGTCCTGTTCCCGTTTCAAGGGAACTTCGAACTGCGTCCTCTAGGGGTCGCTATGGGGAACGCCTTGTCGTGACCCGTGTCTGAAGCTTACATTGAAAAAACACCAACAACACGTTGGGAGAACACATTATCCTCTTCTTCGTC